CGGGCGACACATCCAGATTATCGCCAGCCCCGCACTACCCATCGTTTTGTCACTCGACGCCGCTTGTTGGCTGCTTTGCTCCATGCTGTCACGGATGGGTCACTGAGTCTGGCACAGGTACCTGAACTAGAGCTTGTTTAGCTCGCGGTACACCCTATGGATAGCAAAGCTCCAGCAGTCGCGTCGCGAGTACATCTCTTCTGGCGTACTTGCGAATGGGTCGAACTCGCTAGCACGGACACACCCGACTCCAGATTCAGTGATACGTCAGGTCTATTCTCACTTTTTGCAAAACCCCGTCTCTTGAGGCATGACCATCGTGCCATGTCGGGAGCCGTGGCTGGGGCAGCTAGAGCTGGGTTGTGCCCCGCGTTTGGCTCCCTGACATGAGCTACAGGAATGCTCCGAGTATCGTTGGCCCCGCCGGGTGCACAGTCACGTCGTTTGGGAGCTTTGCATTGTGGTCATGGGCACTCTGGGCCTAGGCCTTTCAATAATTTGCTACGACGCGAGAGAGCCCGCAACGCGCAACTTCATGAGGTGCTTGCAGCCGGGACAAACCCGCTGGGCCTCTCACTGGGATGTATCAGAAAAAGGCTGCGAGGCGCTCAGTCCAACCAGTTGCGGTCGCCCAGCGCAGCTTTTGCTTACATCGGATGCAGAGTGGAACGGAACAGACGCGATCCACTAATGCCGATAGGCCGATATCCGACAGCTCCTTGCCGGACGGCCATGGCGTACCTGGTCCTGGGGCAACATATTGCTGTCATCTGTTCAGATTACCGCCTGTTGAATTCAAAATTGTTGATCAAGAATGAAGAGAGTGTACTCTCGCAGTTTCTCTGATTGTCATACTAATTCTGACGTTGATACCAAATGGAGCGGAGCATCATGACTTGACTGTCACTGTCTCGGCCAGGCTCACTGAGAAACACACTGATTTCATTCACTGACCAACGCAACAAATGGATGGGACGCTTCCATGATACTCTTCGCATCGAGGCCTCCTTGCGTCCTCATGCCTCTGGGGGACTGTTCTGGCATTCTCGCAATCCAAAAATGCCTTGTACGAGATTTGCCAACATCTAAGTCCTGCCTCATAGCAAATCCGGCAAGCTTCTCCTTAGTGTGCGATTGACTTTGTGGCTGGAACCGGAACCCGAACTGGACCTCGATGCGGCTCTAGCGATCATGACCTCATAGACGGGTTGCGCCAAACATACACATACCAGGCGGCTGGCCATCGACATCTCCCAGTCCTTCCCTGCTCATTCTCATCTTGCAGCAGCACAACGGTCACCACTCACCATGTCTCAATCCAACCAGTCTCTTCCTCGCTTCCTCACCAACACCAAGCTTGACCCATCCTTTGATCAGGATATCAAGGATACCCACCTCATATACGACTATGCTGCCCAAGACAAAGATGGAAAGCCTGAGAAATGGCGTTATGAGATGTGGTTTTTCTCCCACGACCGCATAGTTTACGCCATTCACGGTGGGCCTATGGCTGGCCGCATCAACTACCAGACAGCGACATACCAGTGTGTACGACCGGGTGAAATCTGGCAGGTGAACTGGCTCGAGGAGACGGGCACCATCTGCTCTCTCGTTTACGACATTCCCAACCAGAAAGTCACAACCCTGATTGGGTTCTCGAAGGGTCACTGGGAGCACCCACAGGAGGCGCACGGCGACAAGAGAGACCCGGCCGCGTTCGATCGATGGAGGGAACTTGCGAAGATTGGCTCGCAGACTGACCGGTTCATGCTGTCGGAGCAGGCAAACATTCTGGAAAACTTCAAGGGAAAGGGGAATTTGCAGCCAATTGCCAGCGATGCGCAAACCTTTTGAGTGGACATTCGCAATTGGACATTCGCAATTGGACATTCGCAATGACAACGGTCACTAAACAAGGGAAGCATGAAGATTTTGCAACGATGTGCGGTTCTCATTACCTGATCATGGTACATGTCTAACCCAAGTACTCCATGTCGTTCTTTACGTGTACAGCTCCAAATGAGATTCCTACCAATACACACTTATACATACCGATTCAAGCGAGACACACTTTCCCACGGTGAGCACACGATCTATCTCTCGTATTCCGGAGGTGGTCCTGGATACGCAGGAGGAGGCTCGTCGATGGTGGCCTTATTCGGTTCATTTGAATCGGCGATAGCTGCTTGGATCATGATAATCTCGCTCTCAGGCAAAGGTTGTTGCTGTCGATGAGGCGACCCCGCCTCAACATCGACATCGGAAGAGAGCCTTTGCCGGGATTGGTAATAGCCTGCCGGCGATACCACTCGGGGCGGGCTGCTTCTTCTAGTATTGGATGTTCTAAAGGTGGCTGGCGCCTGCAATGTGGCCCCTTGTCTATTCATTTCTGGTGCCTCACCCGGTGTAGTCTCGCGTTGATATTTCACCCAGCCGCTTGTTCCAGGAACGCGGGAGGTGTATTTCACTGGAAGGCGAGGCCAGCAATAGGAAATCAAGCCTACAAGGGCCAGTATGCCTACTGACAGGCCGATCGCCAAGCCAAGACTCTTAGCGCTAGGACCTCCGTCACCTTCACCGTCACCATCGTCCTCGGCGTTTTCACTACTAGCCCTTGTGCTTGTGGGTGACGTCTCTCTGTCCCAGGGAAAGCCAGTTCGAGTTGCTCGAGTCGATTCTGGTGTCTCGCTTGATGTAGTCTTGGTTGTAGGTGTGGCCGCCTGACAAGGCGATGCAGGAACTGGGGCCGTTGTGAACTGGATGTAGGCGCACTGTTGCTTCGTTAATCAAAAATTACCCGTGAAAGTATTGGCATTCTGCAAGGCAGGGGCTCAGACTCACCTGTATGAAAGTTTGTGACGGCAACTCAGTCTGGGAACCTGACAGCTTTTGTTGAAAGCTTATGCCCAATGTCGCGTTAACTCCGTTCCATTGCTCCGGCTTGACCTGGAATATGTCGATAATGCCCTCTTCTTCCCAATTGGGAATCCCATAAGAGTCTGGCGCCAAAAGCCTGTCACCACATGTGACTCCCAAGTCAGACAAGCCGTCGTAGTAGAGGCCGCTGGACCAGGCGAAAGCAGTCGCATTGGCACCATCAAGTCCTTCAAATTGACCGAACGACCAGTCTATCATCCATCTCCCAATTTCGAATGAACTCGAGACGGTCTTGGAATCCCACATCTGTGACAACTGAATATGAAACCCATCAATTGAAAGCAAGGCTCGTTTTGCGTCGGAAGGGGGGTTAACATCTGAGCACTGGAAGTTTCTCGAGCTCGAGCCCCAGTCATCGTGTCCACCATTGTGTGTCACGTTCTTTCCATTGAGGACGCTGTAAAAACTTTCGTTTGCGTCAGGCCAGGTCATTTGGATCAAGGGCTGCTCGTCTTGGCCACGGACAAGCGCTGAGAAGGCTGCCTGTATAGCCATGAAGATTTGCAGCGAGCGCATTGTGGCGTGTCGTGGTTGTTTGGCTGATACTGTTTGGTGACTGAACATGAGCGCAACCTCATTCTCGGGGTCGAGTGTGTCGTGAAAATGATCGGCCTGATGTTGACGTGCTGTTGGTTCGTGAGAAGAATAGATGAACGGACACTCGCCCATTCATATGCTTGTACTTGTGGCTTTTGACACATGGTCGATACGAGGCTAGAAGTGTACCTGGATGCATTGCAGTGGCACAGTGAACACTTGACTGGCCATGGGTCACGGAGGCTGTGTCGAGATGTCGGGGCTTATCGAGGCCAAGAGGGCTGGGGCCTCATTTGAATCTTGGCACACTGTCACGCGAGCAGTGTTGGAAGACACCCAGAAACTGAAGACAGGGGCTGTATGCGACTTTCAGTGAGCCTTGCCGCAATACCATGTGTAGTCATGTCAATACGACAATCACCCGAGGCCAAAGGCTGTTATCGCAGGGCCTACACTCCACCGAACGTTGGCTCAATTGCTTCTGCTTACCACATGTGATCAAAGCGTCAACCTTGTATCTCTTCTATGGTTAGATTATGAGGTTTGGCCTCATTCTAGCACGTCCGACTCTGGCTTAAGCTCATGGTGCCTCAGATGCGTTTGCAGCACAGCCTTTGTCCTGGATCTGTGAAGAGTGCAAGGGTATGAGGCCACTTGACAGCTAGGTCCTTCGCTTCGGATATCGATAGCTGCTCTACATGTTGAGGACATTTCAGCGGTATTAAGTTATTAAATAGCTGCATTTCGGGTATACCAGACCAGCGACACATTTACATGATGTTCAATGGGTGGGTGTCGAAACAAATGATACTATCGCATGTCGACCTGCCCGATTGACACGGAACCATCCAAAACGATACTAAGCTAATGGAAGCGTGCAGGGAATGTATCGAGACGCCTGTTCTATGGAACATGGCCTTCAAGAAGTCAGGTAACCGCTCCCTAGGGTGCGAGACTTGGAATGAGGCTTTCAACGTCGATGAGCCAACATTTACATATGAAGAATTATTTGAGCTCCTCTAGCACATTTCCGTGCTCGGTTCCGCAGCGTTTGCTATCTCCTCTGTAGATAACCACGTGTTCATGGAATTCGTTTGTCGTCGAGATGGTCCCGACAGTAAAAACATCTGAGATGAGCGGGCAGCAAGGAAAATCAGAAAACCGCCGAAGCGCCCAATTGGAGATTGTGAGCCACAAACCTTGGTAAACCGGGTTAGTCAGAAACAGGCCACCGTACAGCTTGACCAAGTCGGCGACAATCTCGACAATATCGAGTCATATATATACGACGCGTTGCTTTCGACGATCTGATGCCCTAGTTACCTACGGAGCTAAACACCATAAAACTAACCTAGCTCGCCACTAACGCCAATACCCAAATCGACCCACGGCTGAGGAGTCTTTACCCCGCTACGCGCTACGACGTTACAAGCTGCGATGTCTCCAGAGCACGAACCCACGACCGTGACCTCGAGGGTGAATTGTTCTTAGACTTCTGAAAAAATACCAGCAGCTGACTCACTATCATGCAGTCCATCAAGATCGTTATCGTAGGCGCCGGCTCTGTCGGCGCAACGACAGCCTATGCTATCCTGCTCAGCGGTCTAGCCGCTGACATTGTCCTCATCGACATTGACAGGCACCGTGCTGATGGGGAGGCTACAGACATTGGTCATGCCGCCCATTTCACACACTCAAAGGTCCGCGCTGGCGATTATTCTGATTGCGCGGGCGCGACCCTCGTGGTCATTACCGCAGGTGTCAACCAGAAGCCCGGCCAAACGCGTCTCGAGCTCGTACAAACAAACTACGCCCTCTTCGCTGACATCGTCCCCCGCATCGCCACAGCTGCTCCGGATACAATACTCATCATCGCCACCAACCCCGCCGACGTTCTTACGCATTCTGCTACCAAGCTCTCCGGCTTTCCTGCTCACCGTGTCATCGGGACCGGTACTTCACTCGACACAACCCGTTTTCGCCGCGAGCTGGGCCACCACTTCGGCATCAGCCCACGTAGCGTTCATGCATTCATCATTGGTGAACATGGCGACTCTCAGCTCCCTGTCTGGTCCCTGGCAAACATTTCCGGAATGCGGCTGCCTGAGTATTGCCGGCAAGCTGGGAGGCCCCACGACGAGGAGGCTATGGCGGCATGCGCGGCCCGTACGAGGGGTGCAGCCTACGCTATCATCGAAAAGAAGGGAAAAACGAACTACGGCATCGCAAGTGTCATTGTCAGCCTTGTGGAGCCAATTGTCAAGGACTCCGATGCTATAATGACCGTCTCTCAGGTCGGAAATTACGCTGGCGTTGAGGACGTAGCCCTCAGCATGCCGTGTAAGATCAACAGGGGCGGAGCGTTTCAGGAAGTGCCTCTGCTCCTTGATGAAAAGGAGACTACGCTGTTGAAACAGTCGGCATCGAGTATTCGAGAGGTTATCTTGTCGATTGAGAAATGATAGGCCTATTTCATGGTGCTATGTAACCCATCGGAGTACCCTAAGAAAATCGCATACTGTCCAACACTATGCTGGTTAGATCATTGAATCGTACAGTATGATCTCAAAATAAAGTTCTCCTTGCCTCCTCCTTGTGAAGCCTCATGTACTCAAACAACAGTGTAGGTAATAGGAGAGATGCGCTGCGCGTTGAAGACATCCAACCAAGCCTCAGCGGCGTCACCAACCTCAGCCCAGCGGGCCTTAATCGTCTCGGCCTCTTCCTTGCCAAATTGGAGTGATGCACCAGCATTCTTCACCTGGTATTGGCTGCAACGAGTATCCATGTCGGACAGAATGTCAGCCATTTGAGCCACGCTGGAGAGCAGGTCCTCCAGTGGCTGCGAGAGGTGTTCCACCGCCGCCACAGAGCGCTCCATGACGACGATAGCTGTCTTGACCAACTGCACAAGCATGCCGAGTTCCTGGAGACTCATCTTGTTGAATAGCGCCTTGCCGAGCTCCGTTCCGCTGGCGGCATCCTTCACCGTGCGGAGAACTCCGCTAAGTGCCGTCCAGGTGTCTTGGGCGGCTTCCACGCGTTTCTGAATGGGGATTTCCTTTTCAGTCTTCTTGGCGGGCGCAGCAGTATCCTCACTCTTGTCTCCAGCCTCCTCAGGAACCTCCTCCTCCTCCGAGTCGACCTTGGGCTTCGCATGGCCGTTGGTGCCGTTGGTGTCGTTGGTGCCGTTGGCAGCCTTGGTTCCATTGGAAGCATTACCTTCCGGCTTGTCTTCTTCCTTGTCTCCCTTTTTGTCGCCATCCTTGCCAAAGACAACCCCGCCGGCTGCGAGAAGGGCAGGAATGGAAGCGATAGCAACCCCTGAATAAGCAGCAAACGCAGCAGCAGCGACCAATCCGCCAGTAGCGAAGCCGGTCAAGCATCCTTCAACAATGATGCCGGTGACCTTGTCGCGATAGGCCTTGTCGCGGCGAGCGAGATCGATGTTGGCGCTTGAGATGGCCTTCTTCAGCTCTCCGATGGACGCCTTCACAAGCTTGAGTTTACCGCTGAGTTCAGCAGATGAGTTGGAAAGCTGCGACTTGACACGAGCAGATTGCTTGCGTGCCATGGAGACTGAGCTGAAGGTACCCTTGAGGAAGACATGCGGAGAGATCTTGCCACTGGCTAGGTTATTTGCGCGGGTGCTCTGCAGAAGAGCCAGCGTGTTGATCTGCTCAACGGTCCCGTAATGGAGCGCGGCCGTCTGGGTGTAGGCATTCCTGATGCTCTGAATGACTTCGTTGAGTGTAACCTTTCGGTTAGAAGCAGCGTCGAAGTAGCCAACGATATCTTCAGTGTAAGTAAGCCTTTGCAACTTGCCGATGTTCTCCCAGACGATTGTCGAGTTGTTAGTCTGGGCCTCAAGCTGTGAAAGCAGAACGGGAGTAGGGGACGCAATCTGCACCAAAGCTGAATCCGCAGCAACGTCTGCAGCAACACCAAGGCCATCGATGTCCATAGCCACCGCCGTGTTCTGGCCTCCCTGAAGCATTGCCTTGACCTCATCCGCTTCCTTGCGGATCTGACCCCACTGCGTATCCGCCAGCTCCTTGTATGCCGCGGCATCAATCTTGATACCGTATTTCACAGACATCAGAGTTCCGTAAATCGAGCCAAGGTTGCCGCTTGTACGCTCACAGAGCTCAACCCAAGTCTGGGTGTGTCCCATGAAGGAGTGGCCGCTTTGGAGGTCCTGCGAACACTGCGAGATTTTGCGTTGAATTTCATCAATCTCGTGGCTGAGTCGGCTCTGCATCTCGTTGGCTCTCTGCATGGCCGACACACGACCAATTCCGAAGTCAAAGAAGTCTGTGACGCGGGGGCTCAGTATCTCCCGGATCTCAGCTTCACCCTGGGCATGGGTGCTTTGGATCCTGTCCCTAAGGAAATTGATCTCACGCTGAAGACGTTCCTGCTCCTGCTGAGCCAGATGATTAAAGTCGACGAAAGCATTGTTGGCAAGCCTAGCCTTTTCCATTGCTTGCTTGCATGTCAGGAGTGCTTGCGCTTGAAGATAAGCAACCTTGGAGATCTCCTCGTCCGACTCAGGAACGGCCGGGATCTGCTTCATCCATCCTTCTGACACTGAAGCCGTGTTGAGAGTCATGTCCAACATGGAAAGTACATTGTTTCGAGCATCGCCCAACATACCGTTGAGCATGCCGCTGCTGGGGTGGTCCGATGAGAACGGGGCCACAGTGGCGAAGATGTTCGTTGCCGCATCAATTGTGTTCTTCAAGAACCAGTTTTGTACTGGGTTCGGGCTGTCGAGCTGTAGACCTCCCAGCGCAAATCCAACGGGAGTGAAGCGCGCAAAATCGGCAATGACTCCAAAAATGTCCGCAGACTCTTGCGACTGGACTTGAGCCTCAGGGATGTTAAGGTCGACGTCGCGCGAAAAGGCGTCCGAGACAAGGTTGACGGTCATACCCATGGGGGTGAAGCGAGCAAAGTTGGCCAAGTCGCCAAAAATGTCGGCAGACTCTGTGCCGTTTGACTGCGTGGTTGCCGGCTGTTCGTTGAGGTCAACATCACGCGCAACGGCCTCGGCCGCTGTCCCGATCGTGTTTACAATCATACCGACGGGACTGACCCTCGCAAAATCGGCCAAAATTCCAAAGATGTCACCTGATTCCCTCTGTTCATCTTGAGGCGCTGACTCAAGGTCAACATCGCGTGACACAGCCTCTTCGACCATTCCGACGGCCATGCCGAGAGGTGTGAAGCGGGCGAAGTTGGCAAGATCACCGAATATGTCCGCCGCCTCGGCGCCCTCCCGCTGGCGAGCTTCGTCCAAGACTTGGGCAACGGCTTCGGGCGCAATTCCCATCTGCCCAGTGTAGACATCAATGAGGTCTGCAACTTCGAGATGCTTCACATACTCGGTGAACTGATCGTTCTCCAAAGCTTGCGTGGCGATATCGACCTGCTTGTTGAAGAGGACAAGGTTCTTGAATCCGGGGTCGACGGGCGAAGTCTCGAGTGACTGCAGCTCAACGTCGGCGGCTTCATCGTCGTCATTGTCCGAGTCGTCGTCAGAATCATCTCGGGGAATCTTGATGCCGGTTCTGTTCAAGACAGCAAGGTAGGTCGCGCAGCCGTTCTTCATCTTGGTCACAACACTGATCGAAGCCTCGATGGATGTTGTGTCCTCAAGAACGCCCGCGCCAATCTGGAGCGCTGTGGCCTCGTTCATGCCGCCAAGACTCGAGGCGGCATTGAACATACGCCCCCAAAACATGTTAAGATTCTCATACATCTTCTCGAGGTCACCAAACCTGTCCGCCACTGACTTGATGTCAGTGATGGCTTGCTGTACACCTCTCGCCTCTGCTTCCAAGTCCTCGATCTGCCCAGCAAGCTTTGCCGACTCGCTGCCAAAGTGGCAAGCCGCAACAAGTCCGCCGACAAACAACGCGCCGCCGACAATGCCCAAGGCGATGACACCAACACCAGTCACAGCGCCGAGAACTGCAAGACCGATGCCGAGAAGCATAACACCAATGGAACCCCAGAAGGCAGCATCCATCTTTGCCTTGGCTTCCTTTGTAGCCTTGATCTGAGCTTGAAGCGAGACAAGCTTATCGCGAAGAACAATGAGCTGTTGGTCGAGCTGAGTACGAACCGAAGAGAGATCGGTACCCATGCCGTTGACAGTATCTTTGACAGAGCTAGACTGCTTGCGCATGATTGTGGCCCAGATCTTCGTCTGCAGGACAAGCTTTTTCGCTTCCTTGATGGCGATCTTTTGCTTCGCCGCGCTGTCCTCGTTCTTCTGATACTCTTCAGCCGTTTCAAGTTGCTTCTTGAGGAAAAGCTCTTGGTTAGTAGCAAATGTCTGCAGCTTGCTGACAACAGGGTAAATGCACTTCTGAGTGTCCATGTAACGGTCTCGCAAAGACCCCGTCAGTGTCTCCAGGTCCAACATCACACCAGGGGAAGCCACACCGAGGTGCGTGACGCCCTTTTGTTGGATCCACCGCTGCCAGCCAGCCTTCTTGTCGTTCTTGGCGGTCTTGTCCGATGGATCATTGACCGTCTCCAGGCGGCGACGATAGATCCAGCCGTCGCTCTGAACAGCGACGGGACCAATGTCAGTGGCGGTCAGCTCGAAGAGTGGGTCTACGGCCATTTGGTCCGAGGCAGTGAAGGTTGAAGCATCGAAATCCACGTCGAGATTCCAAGTGTTACTGCCACTGTCATAGGCCACAATGTTTCCATTGAAGTAGGCCGCCTGCTTGATACTGAGAGCAGCCGCTGCCTTGTTCTTTGCGTCGGAGCTGTTCTTGAGCTCCGTGAACGAGTTGTTGCTTCCAGCCAGGTCGCCGTTCAGAGATAGCAGGCGCCCGTCCTGTCCCAGGATGACGAGATGGAATCGGATGTCTTTGCCGGAGAGACGTGCAAACGGGAGGATACTCCAGGCGTTGCCAACCGGAAGACAGTTGTCGCCAACCTTTTCCCAGGACTCGACGTACAGTTTCGGCCAGTTATCAACTGCCTTCTTGACCTCGGGGTCCCTGTCATCGCGATGCTTCCTGCGCCAGATGGCGGTACCGATGGACATGCAAAAGTCTCCCTTGTAAGGGAAGAAATGAACGGCTTTGCTGCTGTCGATGTTGACATTATCGGGGATACGGCCAAAGACCGACCAATCCTCCTCTACGCCGAGAACCCCGCGGCTCTTGGTTTCGGTGTACATGATGTTGTCGCCCTTTAGCCCGACGATGGGAATTGTGTTGAGCATTGCGTTGTAGTTCTTCAGGTACGGCTTGGTCTTTGGGAAGCGATGTCATATTAGCGAGTCGATTTTGAAACGAAGAGCGCGATGCAAGGGTGTATAGTACCAGAATGTCTTTGAAGGTATCGACGATAGGTCCGATGTTCTCGGCCATCTTCTCGAGTGAAGGGTTCTGCTTGCCAAGGCCAGAATCCTTTCCAGACATGCCCTCTCGGATCA